CCCCAAAACCCCAAAACCCCAAAACCCCGTTTGTACGAAAAAATAGCATTTAAGAAATAAAGAGTTTTTGCAAAATTCTTGTTAATAGGAATTGTATTTAGATACATTAAATTATATAAGTCTTTTACCAGAATCAATAGATTTCTTTTAGTCATTGGAGGAAAACATTTTTATAAGAACACTCCTTGATTTGGAAATCTCTAGCTGTCAACTTTTATTCTTTAACTTTAGAAGCTCCCATATCAATAATGTACTTTCCATTATCCTGAATCATGACAGAGTATCTGAGTTGAGAGGTTTTTGGGGAGTAATAGAGCTAGAAAACTTTCTTCCCGAATTCCTTTCTTGTGAAAATGTGATATTTTTCTTCTTTGTCCCAATCAGCTGGTAGGAATCCTTCATATGAAATTTCTGGATTGTTAAAAGGATCATTCATTTCATCAATAAGGGAGGCCACATTTTTTCCATTTTGTAGTAATTCATCATACGATTTGCACTTCATGGTATCTCTCTTGAAGACAAGGTTCTTGTGTGCAGTGTAATTTGTTGCAGTAGCTTCGTTGTATTGGAAACCTTGAGTAGTCCTGACACCGAGTCCTGAGAACTGCATGTTCAAGTCACTGCTCACTTTAATCATTGAGCTTACATCTTCTTGCTACAAATCGAACTTCTCTCCATTTTAAACTAGTTTGAAGATTTTAGCTTCGTGCTAGAAGTTTTTAGGCAACTAGAACTTGATCTTCTTTGAAGTATGCTGGTGAGCAGCATCCTCCTTTGGAGTATTTGTAGATGCACTCTAGGTAAGAGCAACAGTTGAAAGCAAGAGGAGAAGAGCAGATTTCATTTATTTTTTAGGCTTATAATCTATTATAATTTCAGAAAGAATTAACTATCTTATATTATGTTATTATAAATTATTATTTAAATATTTTATCTTATTTCAAATATCTTTAATAATTTTATAATTATAACTAATGGGGTTTTGGGGTTTTGGGGTTTTGGGG